AGATCTCACATAAATGTCAACTCTCTCGAGGTTGCCTTCATCCTAACATGAAAACGCTCGACATTGTCTGATTTTTCCTCAGGTTTCATAACTCACAGAATTTCTTCTACTCAAAAAATAAAAACACATACAGTTTGTAACATGAAACCAGGAATAATCCCCTGACTGAAACAAGAAGAAAGCCTGTTGCTGATTTGCATCGTTTCCACCAGTGGTTGAAGCAAGAGGGGAGATCTGTGGAGCCTGATTAAAAAAAAGAAAAAAAAAAAGCCACCAGCTGCTCCTGCAGATGCCAGTCTAAATAAGAAATCTTAAACCAATTTTATAATTATTAAGGAATATTTACAATGTGATATGAGCTGATTATTTTTCGCCATCAGGTTGATGAAAGTAGAGCAGGTAACAACTTTTTTGGGGGGGTATTCTTAAGTGAATTGTCTCTCTTTAAATACTCAGAACATGCTTTATTTTCTGATGCATCAGATCAACCATATTATACCCATCTTTGCCCAAAACCAAGTTAATAAACGGCGTGTGGCCTGTTCTGCCTTTTCTTCTTCTTCCAGCTGCTCCCTCTAGGTGTAGCTTCATCTCCACCTCTAACATCCTCCTGTCACACCAACCCACTGCATGTCGTCCTCCATTATAACCATGAATCTCCTCTGAGGTCTTCCCCTTTTTCCTCTTTGCCATCTTGTAAATCTTGCCTCCGTCTGAGGACGTTTCCAGATATTTATTTAAATTGGATTTGATAAATGCATATTGATTGGCTGGCAGATGAGTAAAAACAAAGCAATAAATCCAGAATTCAGTTTGGGAATGTTTGATGACATCCCATTCATATGAAGCACATGTGAATCCTGCTTTTTCCATTATTAAGTGCATGCTACAGAGATGGAAAACAACGCGAGCAACTAAAGATTAACTGCGTGATCAGGATCACCTCCACCAATTCCAGTTGCTGAACTGAACCTCTGGATTGTGTTTGTTCTTTTTGGAGCTTTTTAAATGCAATAATCTGACAAATGATATAAACTACTGGGCAGATATTGTACTACACTGTGAATTCAGTTTGCACTTTGTGCTGTATATACATGTCTGTGGATCTAGACTCCAGAAGTCATTTCTTTTTGGAGAAAAGGGTGGACGACTAAGTTACGAGCTGCAACCTACCTGAAAATGGAAATGTGGCTGAATGTTGCATACTGTAATAAATACTGTTTTAATCCCTTACAAGCAAAGTATGGGCTCTGCCTTAGACCAAAAATCAAATAAATATCATATATTTAGACTCTGTGCTCCTTAAATGACGTTAGAAATGCTCTGAATATTTAAAGAGAGAAAATTCAGTTAAATAGTGGAAGGGACCAAAAAGTATAAGCACAAAGCAGAGTGTGACAGCTGGCTCTGGTGGGGTTGTGAGGGGGTTGGGAGGGGGGGGCTCATGCCTACAGCAGAGGACCTTTTTGCACAAAATCTGCTTTTCTGGCCTAAGTGAGCCACAGCACGCGACAATGAGCTCATCATGATGATTACCTAAGCTCAAATGACTTCCTGCGCTTACACAGTCACACACGTGATTAACATAACAGCAGCCTGAACCCTGGTCACTGAATGATGGTTAAACAAGTTGAACAAATAGACGATTAAATATGCGATAGCTGGGAAGAATCAAAAAGTGGAACTGAAGTATATCTTCATTTTTTAATAGTCACTGGATCATATGGTTTAGGATTTCTGGACTAAATTTTTCAATTGAGAAATTGAAAAATTTAGTAAATGTAAATGTATTTCTAATAAACTTAAGTTATTAATGATCAGAACATTGTTGAAAAGTAATCTAACTATGACCACATGTTAAACACTGAAATCTATTTTAAAAGGAACCCATTACGCTATTTTCTGTTTCATATTTTTTTATTCTTGGACTCAGACCCTAAATTCAATATGTTTTAGCTCCTGCCCCTTTGAGACCAACCTCTTTTTAAATAAACTTTCTTCTAATTGGCTGCCCCTCATCAACAAAACATTTGAACAGCTGGTAGGTGGGAGTCACTCTCAGTGACATCATACAGAACCAGGGAAATAACAAACAAACTGACAACCGCCAATTTGCAAATCCCACATTGCTGCATTGGAGTAATGTAGATGTGGTCAAGACAACCTGCTAAAGTTAAAACCGATCATCAGAATGGGGATAATAGGTGATTTAAGTGACTTTGAACGCAGCATGGTTGTTGGTGTCAAATGGTCTGGTTTGAGTATTTCAGAAACTGCTTATTTACTGGGATTTTCCTGCACAGTTAACTCTACGGTTTACAGAGAATGGGTCCACAAAAGGAAAAACATCCAGTGAGCATCAATTCTCTGGGCAAAAATGCCTTACTGATGGCAGAGGAGAATGGTCCGCCACTTGGTACCAGCTGAGCATTGTTTAAAACACCATAGCCTGAGTATTATTGCTGAACCTGTCCATCTCTTTATAACCAGTGTACCCATCGTCTGTTGTTACTTTCAGCAGGATAACACCCCATGTCACAAAATCATCTCAGGACACAGATTCCCATGTCTTGACCACCTCTTTAAGGTAGACTATAGACAGTATAAAAGATGAACGTTAGTTTTACTTTTCAGATATAACTAACTTGGATGTGCTTTACACCTGCAGTCTTTTCAATGGCCACACGAAGCCAACAACTTTAGTTTCAAGTAAGATTTTGTGTTATATGCAAGTATGTGGAAAACCAGAACTGAGCTCCTTTACTTTGTTACCTTTTTAAACAATTTTTTGATGTCGTCAGTTTCAAGTAGCACTGAATAAAATATTTAGTTGTAAATTATGGTCATCTTCAAAATCGGCAAGGACAGTTAAAGCAGTCTTTAAGAAGCCTTGAGTTGAGCAATTGCCATCGCCATCTTGGTGTCTGACGTGATAATACTTGTTTCTGATTCTTAGAATGAAAACTTACAGACTGGACTTCATGTTGTATTCAGTAAGACTGGAAACTAAGAGCTGAGCCCCTAAACTCATCAGGAAACTGTTTATTGAGGGCGCAGAGCAAAACAGCCAAGCTGTGTTTTCCCAGGTAGCCTTCTCTACAACCACAGGTCACCAGCAGATCGCCATCTGCTGGCTATTAAAAAGAGTGCAGATTAAAGACACTTATGACTTGGTTGTAAAAGCTAAATCCATCTTCTATACAATAAGTGGGTTTGAATTATACTCCCCCTTAGCTGCTAAAAGCTCCATGATCCATTACTCTATAAAGTTACTTAACCCTGAGTCAAGTATCATAAGCAGAAACATAAACATAACTGTTCTTGATGGTTTAAAACATAATAGCTCTGCTTGAATTTGGTCATTCAGAGTTCAGGGGAATGTCACTGACATCATTTTCCCTTCACTATCGGTTCACTGCAAAATATCAAAGCAATCAATTAAATGCATTTCCTGTGATCCACCGGGGTCAACAGCTCGGGCTTATGGAAAACATGTGCATGCTGTAAATGAGATGAGGTTGGGAGTGTCTTTAGGTGCAGATGGACTCACCCTATGCAGGGTCACGGTGTATTGCTCCCACACGGTCTCCTCCATGACCGGGTTCTGAGGAGAGAGAAGAAAAGATTACCACGGATGGGTTTATTTCACCGGACAGATTAATAATGTATTTTGTGATGTAACAACAAAGCTAGTTCATTAGCCTATGCTTCCTGTTGTTACACAACCACAAGAACAATGACAGCCCTCCACTGGGCTGTTTAGTGCAAGCTGTGAAAAGTAACTTCTGGCTTTTGTTGATTAGAAATGGATTTGGAACACTTGAGCATCAGTTTGCACTCTTTAAATAAGACAAAACAAAAAACTGTATGAAACAGGCTGTATGAGGAAGCCACCAACAGGTTACACTAAGAAATACTAATTAGAAGACAGACTCAAACTGACAGGGTGAGGAAAAAACTGAAATAAAGTGAAATTGTTTAAAAGATGTTTCCTTTTTAAATAGATGCTGCAGCTTTATTTATATCTGTTAGGAGACTAAAAACTCATTCAGTCCAAAGAAAAATCACAAAGTTGGTCACAAACATGCCCTTATTTTCAACAACGACAAAGGCAATTTCAAAATATAAAAACACGAATGACACATCAATTTTTTTTACACAACAAACATGGAGAGAGAAAAGGCAAACTACTTTATATCCGTTCACGTAAACTACCCGGAATTTTTTTCACCCGTTAGTGCTACTTTTCTGCACTTCTGACATCCTCATTTCAAAATAAAACACAACCCAAACCATTAAAGAAACTCTCAGGTCACGCTGGCTGGCCAGACATCTGATCAAATTTAAGCTGCAATCAGAATAGCACTCACGAGCCCCTGCAGGATACGTATGGTCTTCACCGCGTGGGCCCATTTCCTGTGCAAGCTGAGGACCGTCTTCATCATTGGTGCTCAGTCTCTTTCCTCTCTGTGTCTCTCCCTGCTCACCGCCAGCGGTGCTCTGGCAGACTGATGTGCGCCACAGCCTCCTCCATGGCCACAGCTGCACAACCACCAGCAGCTCTCTCCCTGCATCTGCCCGCCCGCCCGCCTGCCTTTGACGTAAGAGGGATTCTGCTGGCCTACATTCAGCACAAATCCCACCGTCTGCAGAAAGTGTAAACACACAGGCACACCAGCTCCTGTGCAAGCGCGCGGCGATCCCAACAACCTCAGAGTTCATCCACAAACGCGACAGCAGATCACTCGACGTATTCCGGCTTCGCCACGCGCTCGCTCATCAAGATATATCGGACACTTCCCAAAGTTTCAGAGCCGATTCTCACTTCACAGAGACAAACCCACAGTGAACGTTCGAGGAGTTCAAATCTGAGTTAGTACAATGGTTAGGATTTTACATCGTGGAAAGTGAAAAATCTCTGTGCTGCTGCCATTTCAGGCTCAGGCTTAGCGAAATGGGGGCATGACTCGAGCTGGCAGCACACCCATCATAACCCACTTTTTTGATCTTCTGGCCAGCACAGGAATACTTTTGGACCAGTGGCAGAAGCAGAGAGACTGCACAGTGGGGGGGAAAGGGAAACAAACTCTTGGAGAGGGAGATTTTTTTTGTTTTTTTTTAGATCTGGAAATGACCTTTGAAATGCCCATCTGGAACTTTATCTTAAACCGTTTTTCGTAAGCCAGGCTCGTGTGTGTGGAGAGCAAAGGATTGGAAACATACTGAGCCCAGCCTCAATAAATAGGGGGAACATTTATATTGGAGAGGGGGGAGATCACTTGACATCCATTTGCACCACAAAGGGCCAAACAGACTGCCATGTGTGAAGAGGGGAGACATATGAATGACTTAGAAATATGAGCGTGCTTCAGGCAAAGCCAAACCAATTTAAGTCAGAGTGTCTTTTTGTACTATGCGATTTGAACGTTATGGGTCCTCGCAGGCAGGCCCGCTGGATAAGTCACAGTCCCTAGTGCAAGCGATTACATAACAAAACACATTTCTACTAATGAGGAGGGGAAATGAAATACTGGGTTATACACACAGGATGTGACTTGGAAAACAAATTATTTAGAGATACAGCTCATCACTTATCACAAAGAAAATACAAAATAAATGTGTAGCTGAAACACATACCATTTTTACTATTACCGTAAGACAGTAACGTCTCTTGCAGAATTATTTAAGTATCCATCTATTCTTATATCAATCACGTTTGTCCAAAGAAAAATAACCTGGAACATGTTTAATAGATGGTAGACCTATATTATCATTTTCATTATAACTTCATTTGTTTGGGTTTTTTTTTTTTTTGGACTAATCTGAATGTTAAATGTAAATTAAGACACAAAGAGATGCATTTTAATTATAACATTGAATTACATTGCTTTGCCTTCCCTACAGGCCAAAACTAACTAACTAAATAAATACAATTATATAAAGTAGGAACATGACATGAAACATGCTACAAGAAAATGTTCAGTGAAGTTAAAGACTTTTCTCCCTATCAACCAAAGTTTTATTTAGGTTTTACAGCTTTGTTTAGAGTACATTCAGGTCATTTGAGTAACATGCTTCTCTTGTCCCAATTACTTCCCATCTTTCCTTGAAATCAAAGGAACATTATCAGGAAATGACAAAATGACCCAGCCACTTCCTGTGTTTATGTGCTGCTGATAAGAAAAGGCAGTGCAAGTCTGCCCCCTCCTGGCCGTATACCTGCATTACCCCGTGTGCCAGAAAAACAACTCCTGCATAAGTATATTTAATTTAGTGTAGAAAAACAACAACTACATTGAGTTTAAAGGCTTTAGTTTGTAATGCAGGGGGACCACAACACTGCAGTTTCCCGAGAAAGTGGATTTTCAAATAACCACAAGATAAATAAGACCAAAAACGTTAAATCCGCTGTAAAATGTACCAATCGGTCGACTAAACAAAAACTGCGGATTGGATCAGAAGTCAAAACTAATCTTAAGACAACAGAGATGTGTTTAAAGTTAAAAGTTAGCTAACTAAACCGTTCGTGTAGCTGGTAGCAGTCGCAGTAGCAGTAACAGCAGGTGCAACAGGCTTCAGCAGGGATTCATGGAAACTCCCGACTTTTCCTCAAGGATATTCACACACATACACACACACAGAGAGACACACAAACACACACAGCACATCCACAGGGCTAAAGTTATCTAATAATGCTACATTACACTACATTTGTATTCATCAGTACTGACTATAGGCGTACAAAAGGACTTACTGTTAAATACTGAGTAGCGTATCTGCTCAGAGAGAGCAGCCCCCCTCCGTTTACTGGCATCACGCACTTTGAACTGTCCGAGAGTGGTACCGAGGATTCAAACCAAACTACGACTAGTTAGGCGTTTCCGGTGGCACATCTGCCACAAGTTGTGAAGAATTTAAAAAAAATTCGAAGCTTGAAAAATTAAAAGTCCTGAATGTTTCACGTTAAGTGAACCACTTCACTCACAAAACACACAGACTTCGTGAATCCAGAGTAAAAAATTAGCGCCGACAGCTCCTAGCTTGGTTCAGATTGTACCAAGTAGGACCCCCCGGGAGGGGTGGGGTTAGGTCCAAACTAATTTAGATAAATAAAGACCAACTCGAACAACAGTTTAGAAACTTAACTTTACTGAAACTAATACTGATATTCCAATAATATGTGTAATTACAAACCGCTGATAACACAGCAGATAGAGAAATAAAGGTGGCTTATGACCCTTAAATCGTTGAGATGGACGCGTCCAAAATTCCCATTGATTTTTAGGCAGCCTGCTGTGAGGCGTCCAGCCAGACAGCACAACAACAGCCTTAATTAAACTAAGTGAGGAATATTATAGACATAAACCAAACTGTCGACGCGTCCATTTTAGGATAACTGAAATATTTTATTCCAACTGCTTTCAATGCAAAAAAAACAAACAAAAAAACAACGTTTATTCAGGGTGTGTAAATAATAATAACTCTTGTGAGTAAATCCAACACCCCTCCCCCAAAAGACACATATATTTAAGCTCCTAAATATCTACTAACAGGTTTGACAGGAAAAAGTATACAGTTTGTTCATTTAGGCAGAATGCAGCCATTTGTTGATTATTACCTTACATTGGTGTTTGCTGTCTGTTAAGTTTGTTAATATCAAATTTCCCCTAACTTAATATCTACATCTATACATCTAAATGTGTATTTGTGACATTACAGATTGACTTTACATTACATTCAACCTCTGCAAATTCAAAAATGTTTCCCAGAACTTTTCAAACACATCTTTTTTAACTTTCAAAAAAAACTTTATTCTTTAACGGGACATTTGACATATTTTGTCTTGCCTAGTCTGTTCAACTGAACAAACATTTATATTGAGGTTTTCTAGTCAAATGGACCACTTAAAGGGCTTTTTAATACAAGCTGACATGCCCAAATTCATACAGTAGTACTCTAGAGCACACTCACTCATATACAGATGGACGAGTTGGGAGTTACTTGGGTTTCAGTAGCTTGCCCAAGGATCCTTCAACATGTGGACCGGAAGACCTGAGGACTGAACTACTGACCTTCCTGTTAGTGGTCTTCTGATTCCTTCTATTGTTGTAATAGGAAAGGATCTTCCACTACAGTTGTGATCTGTCCTTGCATCTGAAATATAACTTCTTTTTTTTTTAGGTCATGGAATAAAGAGATCAGAATATTTTCCTCTCTCAAATGATGCATGAAGCAAGAAATGGTTGGCTTTGGATGCGCTTCCACCGGTAGAAATTGGCATTGTTTGATTCCACTTATCTACTAACAGGCAAATATATTTTTAACCGATGAGAGCAGCGTCTTCCTGGGTGACAATCAAGAGGCTCATATCTTGGAATGGCCTACACACCCACCAGATCTCAATCTAATCAAACCACTTTTTCTTAAATAAATATGACAGACATCGCCATGATCAAAAACACAAAATGACGGTGCTCTGCTTCAACAGTGAAGTTACAGAGTCTAGGAGAATCAAATCCAAGGGACACTGAAGCCATTTTGGTGGCACTTGGATGGCTCAACACCTTAAAATGACTCTTAATGTTGGTTTTCCTTTAATTTGTCACCCACATAATACCATGTGAAAAACTCGAAGCTCCTATTATGAGAAGCTTATACAAAAGGTCAAGATGACCACATGCAGATGTCCCACAATGACCCCTTGTTTTTTTCTCCCCTTTCATCTCTCTGTGCACAATTTACTGTGTGTACGAACCCGCCCTCATCTGGTATTTTATCACAGAAGAATCAGATAAGCACACCAGCTGACTCTGAAAATGTCCAAAATCCTTTATACGACATGAAATGTATCCCTTTAATATCCACCATTTTTACAAATTTCTGCTTCTGAAGAACACAGCACTTTATCTACACTTTTTTTTTTAGGGCAGTGAATTAAATAATGACAATACAATTTCAGAGAAATTAAGGTCAACCCAAATAAATCAACACATTCCACTCCAACTAAGAGATGCCAAACTGATCTTAAAATAGGCCATCCAAATGCAAAACAGCTTCACTGCCCTGAATAATTTGTGGGAGCAAGTCATTAAAACAATGAAGCTTCTGGGACGTGACATGTCTCCCTGGTTAATCATCATTCTGGATTCAGGAGGGGTCACGACAGTGTAGTTATATTCAAATAAGGAAAGGGGGAGGAAGCAGCCTGGGAAAGACTGAGTCACTGAACTTTATCTTCAAGTCGTCAATGTGTCAGAGCAGAAGCAGTCTCAGTCACAACTTACAAATCATTTTTGCACAAATAGAGGAAAAAAAAGACATGCCTGCATTTTTCAGATCACTGATGGGATTACGCAAGAGTTTCGTAAGACTGAAAAAGCATTAAATTTTCAACAGCAGAGTTTCACACAATCACCCGAGTGACGTTAACCACAAAACCCACCAAACCTTGCTTGACAAAAACAAACAGCCAAGAAAAAGGACACTCAGTGCGCTCCATGTGCGCACAGACAAGCCCTGAAAGCATTACACTCAACACAAGGAAATCATTAAAATGCAAGGATTTGACACATTTTCTTAGCTTAGATGAGCTCCAGCTAACAAGCAAAATCACTTCTACAAATGCCATGAATTGAATTAAAACATTACTAAGAAAAAGTAGTTACCTGAATTACATCATTTCCACTGAACCAATTCAAGTAAAAATCATACTTTCATGCGTCTCATCTCAGCTTGACTTGTTTTTGGTAGCTGGTGTTTTCCCTCTACCTCCTCAAAGTTTGCTGGACTCTCACTGATAGCAATGTCACACAGAACTGAAGAAACATCCACGTGATCACACCACAAACACAGGAACAACAGAGGATATCCACGAATTCACTTCTGCTCCTTATCCAGGTTGTGATCACAGAGGCAGCAGCCTGAGCAGAGCTGCAAAGACCTCCCTCTGACATGCCATCACCTCTAGCTCTTCCAGCGATCTGTCAAGGCGTTAACAAGCCACCTGAGAGACACAGGCTCAATTTCATACCTCCTCACTCTGTGATGAGTCAGTGAATGTGTGTGTGAATGGGTGGATGACAGGTTGTGTAAAGTGCTTTGGGGTCCTTAGGGACTAGAAAAGCGCTATACAAATACAGGCCATTTACCATTTACCCTTGTGGCTCCTGGAGGGTCTCTTAATTAAGGTCCAGAGGTGAACACCCAAAGGCAACAGGCTGCATCTACACAACAAACATGTGGCCTTCATAGTATGCCACGGGACGAGGGCTGCTTGATTGCCTTCCATTGCTCTGCACTTTGGCCTAGCACCATAGACAAACATACCAGGTAAACACATCGTTTTCAGGGATCTCCTAACAAACTGTTGGAGGGAAATACAGCAGGAAGCTGTGGGAGGTCCTCTGATGCTGAAAAAAAACAACCTCTAACATCATCTTGATGCATTTTATGTCACTATCAAGTAAAAGATCATGTCCACCGCTAATTGAAAAATGCTGTTTTACATTTCAGAAATGTTTCAGAAATGATAAAGAGTCTTGGAAAACTTGACCTCTGACCTTGACCTTAAAGGTTGAGGTTACTGAGATTCATACATGTTTGGGATTTTTAAGGAGATGCAACTATGGTATGAATTTGAAAATCACCACTTTCTTCTCGAGTTATTGCAGTCACAAACTTGCGTCCATGTTGCCCGACTGACAATACAAGAAGAATAATGCATTACAATGTGCTTTTCAATAACATTTACAGTCAAATCTTTCCTAGTCATACACAAACATGTGGATTTCCACCAAAAGCCATTCACAAGTGCGTGCAGTCCAACACAAACACTGCACCTTCACAGAGCAAGGTTAGTAAGCATCAGTGCGGACTCAAACCTCAGCTGGCTATTCTCAGAGCTGAGAAACAGCAGCAGCTCCAATCTGAACCCCTCCCTACAAAACAAACTCCTCACTCGGTTTCCGCCTCTTGTGTTCGCCTCCTTCTCGCACAGGGCACCACACAGCATTCACAAGAAAACAAGAGGTGGTGACTGTGGTCAATGTAGAAAGCTCTGTAAACAAATGACTGAACCTTTGTTTTCCCCAAAGCTTTTAATACCACAAAAATGAACACGAACACAGCAGTATCAGCTTTACTTTGATGCTTTTGTGGGGAATTTAACATGGTTGGAAAATAACTAGCATCTGATTTATTATCTTTAAAATCTCCATAAAATTAAAGACAATGATTGTACTGTGATTTCTTTTATGCTAACATGCAAAATGAGCTTTCAGTGAGAAAGCTCCTTTTTCCACACACACACAAAACACACACACACACACACACACACACACACTCCACCTGGAAAACAAACCATCAAACAACACCACACATATGCAAATGGCTTAGTCATCAGTGTTGTTGTTCGCTCTTTCCTGTCACTAACATTGAGTAGGTGCAGAGAGAACTGAGGCTGAGATCTCACTGACAGCACAATGGCTAATTGAAAAGCCACTAGATTCACTGTTAGATGTTTAAAGTACAGTAAACTACAGTGTGGGGATGTCAGTTGTGAACGGGAGGGATGTCTGAAGCCTGGGAAGACCTCTATATCAAATTTTAACTTCAACAACAAATTTGTCTTGCAGCGGTTGATATTAAATTATTTCACTCAAACAAAAA